AGATTGAGAAACTAGCATCCTATTTATAAGAAAAATAGCACACTAACCTAATGGACTTTTTAACAATTACCCATTACAAGCTAACTTAGGGTACAAGCTAACTTAGGGTACAAGCTAACTTAAACCATTGGGCTTACAAGCAAGGCCTAATTCAACATGCTAACAAACCTAGCAATATTGACTAATGCATGTTAGAACAAACTTCGACTACAACACGCATTACTTCGACAGCAGCATGCGAACAGACTTCAACCCCATGCTTAATTCCTGTCGAACTAGAAGTTATCCTTCGACCATACTAGAGTTCGATCCAACATATCACAAATCACCACCTTGGATCTAACTCTATAACATCAAGGAACTAGCTTTCTTCATGCAGCTTTATCAACTGCATACAGTGAAAAACTTGCAACTGGGCAACATCTTGGTCATTATATCAGCAGCATGTGAACAGACTTTGATTGTTGTTTTACTATCTACACCCAAGGCTCCACCATAAATTAGGACTCTATTTAAAGAATCATTTATGTACTTTAGAATCCACTTCAATGCTTGTCAGTGAGCCTTTCCAGGATTCCCCATGTACCTGCTTACAAGACTTACTGCATATGATATGTCGGGTCTAGTACAGACCATAGCATATATCAAAGAACCCACTATACTAGCATATGGAATGGTATTCATATAAGTTCTTTCAACATGAATGTTGGGACACTGATCTATACTCAGCTTGAATTGAGAGTTTGTCGGAGTCACAACAGGCTTTGAATTCGACATACCATACTTTTCGAGAATCTTCGGTAGGTATACCTCTTGATATAAGCATAATCTCGACTGCTTTCTATATCTTCGGATGTCAATCCCAAAAATCCTGGACGCAACTCCCAGATCCTTCATGTCGAACTCCTTATTAAGTTCAGCCTTCACCCTCATTACATCTTTGACATTGTTACTTGCTATTAGAATATCATCCACATAGAGCAACAAAATAACAAATGAATTACCCCCGCCGAAATCTAAAGTAAACACAGTGGTCGAACTGACTTCTGATGAAACTTATGCATGCCATGAACTTATCGAATCTCCTATTCCACTGTCGAGGAGATTGTTTCAGACCATATAAAGATCTATTCAGCTTGCACACATAATCTTCCTTTCCTTTTTCGACATACCCTTCAAGTTGCCTCATCAGGATTGTTTCATCTAAGTCACCATACAAGAACGCAGTCTTCACATCCATCTGTTCCAGTTCAAGATCGAATTGTGCCACTGCGGCAAACAACATTCGAATGGATATGTGCTTCACAACAGGAGAGAACACATCATTGAAGTCAATACCTTCTTCCTGAGTGAATCCCCTAGCAACCAATCTTGCGTTGTATCTCTTCGACGCCACTCCTTTGATTCCTTCCTTAACTTTGAAAATCCATTTACAGCTGACTAACCTGGCTCCAGCAGGTTTCTTGATCAGTTCCCAGATGTTGTTATCATGAAGAGATTTCATCTCGTCATCCATGGCCTTCAGTCATTCAGTCTTCTTTCGAATCCTCATAAATTTCTTATAGTCTACAGGTTCTTCGTCTAGAACCTCACTTGCAGAGATTAAGGCATAAGCTATAAGATCTGCATAAGCTATAAGATCAAGGCCATTGTCGGTTCTCAACCTCTTAACCTTTCTGCCAGTTTGAGTTTCGACCAGAATCTTCCAACTTTTGAAATTCTCAAAAGTTTCATTCTTCGTCTTCTGAATGAATACCCATAGCTTTCTGGAATAGTCATCAAAGATGGATAGAAAATACCTTGCACCTGAGTGTGAAGGATTACTTGCAGGCCCCCAAAGATCAGCATGAATGTAATCCAGAGATTCATGTGTTTTTTTCTTGCCTTTGTTAAACTTTGCCCTACAGGATTTACCAAATACACAAGATTCACAAAATTCCATTTTTTTTTGACATTGTCACCTCCTAGCAGGTTCTGCTTCCCCAATTCGACCAGACCTCTTTCGCTGACATGGCCCAATCTCATGTGCCATAATTTTGTCTTCGACACGGATTTCGTGGATGCAACATTTGTCGAACCACTTACAACCTCAGCCTCAAGGGTATATAAGCCTTGTTTCTTCATACCTATCAAGACTTCCTTCGACCTCTTCATGACTCTTAGGATACTTTTCTCTTCTTGAAAAACATATCCCTTTCAGTCGAATTCACCAAGAGAAATCAAATTTCTCTTCAAGTCAGGTACATACCTGACTTCAGTCAATAACCTTATTGACTCATCATGGAGCTTGAATCTCATAGATCTAATACCTGCAATTTTGCAAGATTTGTTGTTTCCCAGCAACACAGATCCACCATCTTGATCACATAACTCCTCGAACAATTCTATTTTTAGAGTCATGTGCCAAGTGCAACCTGAATCCATAATCCACTATTTTCTCGAGTCGTCACTTAAAACCACAAGAACATCAGATGAGTTGAAGTCATCTTGAACAATGGCTGCGTTGTCATTACCTCCATGATCTTTCAGGCGTCAAGGGCACACCATTCTTGTGTGACCCTCCTTCTTACAGTGATAACATCGAATACCAGATGTTTCGCCACTATAAGACTTCTGTTAACTTTTACCTTTCTTCTTGTCGAACTTACCATTCTTTCGCAAGAATTTTCCCTTAACGACCAAACCTTCATCCACCGTCGAAGGTTTATGCTTCTTTTGTTCGTTCAAGTCCCTAGAATACAAGGTTGATTGAACTTCTTCAAAGGTCAGGGACTCCCTTCCATATTCTTTGAAGTGAGCATGTGTTTTAGGCAAAACACACAGCAACAATAGTGTTTGATCTTCATCATCGATCTTCACATCAATATTTTCAAGATCAAGAATCAACTTGTTGAACATATCCAACTGCTCATCCAACACTTTGTCTTCACTCATCTTGATTGAGTACAAAGCTTGCTTCAGGTAGAGTCGATTCACCAGAGATTTGGTCATGTACAAAATTTCAAGTTTCACCCATAATCCCGATGTTGTAGTCTCCTTTGATACCTGTCGAAGAACCTTATCACCAAGGCTCAACAATATTGCGTTGTGGGCTTTCTCGATCATGCTCATCTTTTCTTTTGTCGTTAGCGCAACGTCCATGGCTGTCTCACCCTTCAACGCTTCCAAACAACCCCGCCGAACCAGCAGGACTTTCATCTTCAAGCGCCACAGATCGAAGTCGTTCACTCCGGTGAAATTTTCAATCTCATACTTTGTTGAAGGCATCTTCTCCATGCTCACCGCACCAATTTGTTGTGAATCAGATGTCTTTAAACAAAGTATAAAACGGTTTCTTGATGATCAAGAAACGCACAAGGGTTAGGGTTAACAAAAAAGATAGGGTAAAACAATAAGGATTGGTTATAAACTGCTATTATTTCTTTTATCTTAAAACAAGATTACAAGTATATAAGAATAACAATATAACCTCTCTCTCTTGAAATTATGATTTATTTTCCTATTTTTTCTTATGCTAAGATTGAGAAACTAGCATCCTATTTATAAGAAAAATAACACATTAACCTAATGGATTTTTTAACAATTACTCATTACAAGCTAACTTAGGGTACAAGCTAACTTAAACCATTGGGTTTACAAGTAAGGCTCAATTCAACATGCTAACAAACCTAGCAATATTGCCTAATGCATGTTACAACAAACTTCAACTACAATACGCATTACTTCGATAGCAGCATGCGAACAGACTTCGACCTCATGCTTAAATTATGTCGAACCAAAAGCTACCCTTCGATCATACTAGAGTTCGATCCAACATCTCACAAAGCCTATTTAAAAGTTGTACTTTAGAAGAAAGAAAGGTAGGGCATGAGTGGGAGAATAATCGAGTAATGATCATACAATTAGTTGATTAGGAGAATTGATATTCTCTCAAACGCTAGCTTCATCTCTGATCTTATATATTCATCTTGTAAGAGCAATATGCTCCTTCATCCTATTATACCATATAACATATCTCATTTCCCATTTGTCACTATTTTATTCATACTACAATTTGTCCTTTGTCCCTATTTTATTCATACTACAATTTGTCTCCTGTTTTTTCCGATTTTCATCAAACGTTTGGAAAAAAAAATGTATCGCCCAAAACATCTTTGTTTATTCAAGAGAATCATCCAAATCAATATTACTTTAACTCAAAAATAAAAAATGTAATGAAAACTTTGATACATCAGTTTAAATTGCTGTGGTGCAATTACTAGAAACTCATAAGATCAGCTCATTTTTAGGAACAAACAAATACATTAAACCAATGAGAGAATCACAAGATCATATTTCTTCGATTTTACAGTTGAAATGTACAGAAAAGATACAATAACAGTAACATACAATTGAGCCAGCAATTTAACATAAGATGCATGAGCTTCTACCAATTCTAGACTTGCCACCAATAAAGTCTCCATCTTCTGTACAACAATGTCTTACCTCCCAAAAAAAAATAGTCTACATGTTAAAAGTTGTGTCATTTCATCTCTTTTTTCTGACATTATATGGCATTCCAAAAAATTGCATTTGTCATTCATTGCATTAACTCTGTCATTCCTAGTATGTTAAGCACATGAGAAAAATCTATGCTCCACGCTTCTTAGATGTTGATTGATGCTGCATCTTGAAAATTATGCATACAAAAACAAGTTCCTCCTGCCCAACAAGTCAGCATTTGGTTGAAATCAGAAAGTCCGGTGGATTCGTGTTGCGGCATTGTTTGGCACTTGATATAGGATTAACTCCATAAGCCCAAGCCTGAAGCCGCGCAAAATGCACTTCTGTGCCTCATACAAGACTATGCAATTTTATTTACACAGATACTCTTGTGCTTTGGCTCCTTATTGTATTATTATATCCTTACAAATATAACAATGAACAGATCTGTGTAACTGAAGGTAAGCTCGGAAACTTCAAAAGCTGATTAGATTAGTGGCTGCAGAAGATTCCTGATGTCATAAACCATTTGTTCGGTTGAGCAAAGACGAGCTGGGATTTGGATCAAATGATGGGTTAATCTTAACATGATCTCCCAGTAGCTGTCGCCCAACACGATCGGCCAAGACCGATTGAAAGTCGTATGGCTCTGGATGAGGAGACCTTACAAACTGCTTAGTGAGAGCGTCGTTTTCGGAGGAGATAAGTTCTGATTTAATGTGAGACCCGATTTGCATTGTTCTGAAAATGTCAATATTCGAGTCATGATGAGAGGAGCCGTTAATGTAGTTTGAGGATTTCGGCATGCTTCCAAGACACTCTTGAAAGTAAACCGACTGTTTTAAGTGATTACTGAATGGAATGGCGCCACTGCCACCGCCAGTGAGAGGTGTGGATGCACCAGAAACAGTCCGAGGGCTAGATATAGGAGAAGGAGACAATCTACCACTTCTCTGATGTGGTGATCTTGACCTCAAAAGTGGGCTTCCAATGGGAGAGACTGGGCAAGATATATTCCTTTGAATGTGGGTTTCACTGGAAATTAATGAAATAATTTCAGATTACCATTCATCATGCATTTGTGTGTGAGAGTGGGTGAGAGAGAGGTACCTTTCATTAGGGTTACTTTTCAAAACCCTGGAAGAATGAATTAAGAGCTTATCTGTATCCAAAGCAGACAGATTTCTTCCTTGTCCAATGCCCTGAAAATTGATCAAAGATATGTGCAATTATTAAAAAACAAGAGAATATAGATTGAGACTTCAGTAGCACAAAGCTAATTCATATTCGGAAGCTACTGTTCTGTAGTTTGTTCTATCGTGTAGATAAAGGCAATTTGATACCGGCAATGAAAGTCATACAAAAAACCACCAAATGGTAACATGGAGAGTCACTCAAATACAACTGAGCTTCAAACGATTCATGAAGGAAACAGATTACGCACCAGAGCTTTTGTTCCGTGTGTAATTCCAGAAATAGGTTCTGAAGCTTCAGGAACCATAATAGGTCTTTCCAAAGGTGCTGCACCTTTTACAAAAGGGTGGTCCAATAATTCACTCGCCGAAGGGCGATCACGTGGATTACGTTGTAGACATTTCCTAACAAAATCTTTTCCTTCATTTGAGAGATGTTCCGGGATTGTTGGGAGCTCCTTGCTGTTACCAATTTTGAACATGGCAGCAACCTGTTGTAGAAACATGCAAATACATCAAACATTAAGAAGAAATAATTTTAAAATGTTTCCGTGTTTTGGGTCAAGGTAAATATAAAATCACAGGTATATACATGAATTACTAACCCCTTCATATTGAGACCAAGGAGGCTTAGTTGTAGCCATTTCCAAAACTGTGCATCCAAGACTCCATATATCCACACCAAGGCTACATTCCTTGGAATTCTTTATAACCTAAATCATCAAAAAGCAAAGATACTGAATGACATGCAATTAAAATCGAAAGAACTAAATCAAAGTAAAAGAAAAGTAGAACCTCAGGAGCCATCCAATAAGGACTTCCTTTGAATGACAAAGGACAGTATTGTCCTGTTATCTGCAAATCAGGTGATGAATAAATAAGTATAACAAACAAGAATATGATCTACAGAGTCTAATTTTCATATCTAGCTCATTAAGCTTAAATGCAGATATAATAGATAGTAGACAATTATCATCTCTAAGCTTACATGTTTCGCCATGCCAAAGTCTGCAACCTTGACCCGACCATTTGGATCTACCAGTATGTTTGCGCCTTTGATGTCCCTATACATGTAAATAGAATTTCAGAGATAGATATATCAGTTTTTGAAAAACAAATTGTTAGATGGCAGCAGCAAAATTTACAACATTAGTTATGAATAGACACCATAGTTCACCTGTGAAGAGTATTTTTAGCATGTAAATAAGCAAGCCCTGACAAAATTTGTTGAGTATAACTACGAATAGCTAGTTCACCAAATTGCCCATATTCTTGAAGAAGTTTATGTATGGAGCCTCCAGACACATACTCAAGGTATATGTAAAGCTTGTCATCTACCTGTGCAAGGGATGATTCAAAAACTTATGTAAGTAGTCTATACAAACAAATACTGCTAGAAAATTTCTATTACTGTATTGGTCATTGTTAGGTAAACTTCTAGAAATTAATATTCATGTGACTAGTAGAAGATCATGAACGGGAAAAGGAGAGAACTTACTTTTTCAGAACCATAATACTGCACAATATTTGGATGTCTTAAACGGCTCAACAAATGAATTTCCTGTGAGAGATCTTGAAGTTAGATTTTGAAAGCCGTGTTAAATTCAAGCCCACAAAATATAATGTCGCACCTGACAAAAAATGAATTATTTACCTGCATTAATTGCTTAGCACTTTCCATAGACTTGGCATCATCTGAAAACATAGTAACCTCCTTCATTGCACACATTTCACCACTTTCACTAGAAGAGACAAAACCAAATAATTATTAGTAAGACACATATTTAGGAATCTTTTTAAAAGAACCATAATGAAATTGTGAACATTCAATCCAAAGTACATACCTATTGAAGCCAATATAGACATGTCCAAACGTGCCTCTGCCAAGCAACTTTCCTTTTTTCCAACGTGAACCAGAGCCCATTGGACTATCTGCTCTAGCTGGACTTCTTGGCATAGATGGAGATGTTGCTGCAGAATTAGAATGAGAGAATGGCGAGGTATTGGTAACTGTTAAAGGAGGGAGAGGCAAACGATGACTCTGTTGTTTTCCCTCATCAACCCATCCTGTTTGAGATTCAGTCGGCGTTCCCGCTGCTCTAGGATGAATAGGTGTGACTGCTCCACTCTGAATTCTTGAGCTTGGACCAGGGCTAGTCATTCTAGGACTAGGTACCGGAGAATACTCAGGGCTACCCCTACTTGGTTGCCAAAATAATGGTCCTGACATGTCCCCTCCCATTGAATTGTGCCCTGAATTGTGACCGGAACCTGGACTAGAGCAGTGGCCAGATCCGACGAAATTGATCTCTGGATATGGCTTTCCAGCCCAAAATGCAGAATTCAACACCTGATCTGTACCAAATGCCCTCAATGGACTTCTTGATGGACTTGACAAGGAACTGTCGGGACCACTATAGAAGACACCATGAGGAGGAACCTGAAGATTTGGAACATGGTGTCGTAAAGGCCTTCGTTTAGGTGAAGTAGAAGGTGTGTGATTACTTAAAATGTTTGTCGGTGTTTTCACTTCTCTCGAATTCAGTTGGGCAACAGCAGCCGGTTGATCCTTGAGCATCAAGCTTCAGAAACAAGGAAACAATTGAGTAAAGTAAAAAAAGATATATTTTTCTAATGCGATCAATCACAAATAATTGTGGTATGCATATGCATTAACATGTACTATCTGAAAGTTTATTATGGTTTTAAGATGCAACCTGGAAGGACTGCCAGCAGCAGTTCTAGTCCCAGTTTCGGAGTCAGTTGCCAGAGGACTACGATTGCGTGAGTCTGCTGGCTCATCACTATCAGCAGAGCAATCACTGAAGACTGAAGTGTTGACAATATCTCCATCCAAATCTGCAGGATTTGTCCCACAGCGTATGCATGCAGGTTTCGGAAGTGGAAGAAACAATGATGACTTGGATGACTTTTCCAGTCTTGACTTTGCTGATATACTAATTTCAGAATCCACCCGACCTATACTTGAAGGATGCAGACCAGGAAGCGGAAGTGGTTGAGCATGTGGCCTTTCAGCAAAACTTTGACACCTTGCTACCTTGGAAGGTGAAGGCGATCTTGATTCGGATGGAGAACGATCCCCTTTCTCTGAAATCGTGTCATTGCTTCGTCTACGAGATCCTCCAGATCTAGTGCTTAATTTACCATCAGATGGAAATTTAAATTTTCGGTGCAATGTGTCAATAATACTTTCCTTACCTGCTTTCTTCCTGGTTTCTTTCGATGATGATTTTCCCCACCATGTAGGCATGTTCGTACTTTATAAATTGAGATCTCACAAGCAGGTTTCTTGGAAGGATACTGATAATAGTTTAAAAAATCTATCATTTCACGCCAGTAGACAGATTCTTAAAAGCCATGATCCAGCCATAGAAGATTCACAATTTCCAGAAGCAGTTGTGCTAGAATGAGAAAGGAATCAGATATTGAATGTTACGGCCACACAAAAAAACCTGCAGCAGAGGAAAATGTATACTTTCAATCAGCAAAATATAACCTATATATTGAATCTTAATCGTAAGTCGGTCACAAGACAGTCTAAAGTGATAAACTGCAGTTGTTCTGGTAACAACTAAATGATATTTAGTTTACACAACTACTAGTCACGCACAATAGTCCGGAGCTTGTTACCTGAAACACCAAACACCCGATCTAACATGACAAAGGTTAAACTAGGCATTTTAAATTAGATAACTCTACTCCATCACCAGATAGACTTAAACATCAACCACTGAACTTCCTACTAGCTATAAATGGAAGCAACATAGCATCGATTTCCGAACATCTCTCGCATATAGATTGTAAAATTCCCAAAACTGGAAATACTTTGAAAACAGAAACACTCACTACTTGTTATCAGCTCAAGCAACTACTACATGGATAAGAGTCAAACTCAAAAGACTAAGTTCAAATCCTCTAAGAGATGGTTGTAAAATTGTTATTAGTGTGACTTAAATTAATTAATAATAATAGTTTTCTCACTTTCCTAATTTATAAATATAAATTTCCTTATTTTCCAACTTCAAAAGTCAAAACCCACATCATATCCTAACTCCTAAGTCTAACCCAAAAGAGGGTGTGAAAAATATGAAATTATTTGACCATAAATTTGTACCAAGATCATGACAGCAACGGACACCTAGCTCTGAATTAAAAAATTTAAAAAAAAAAATCTACTTTTTTTTTGTGTTTCAGTTACAATACTCTACTGAGATTCCCACAAACCCAGAAAAATATTAGAATAAAAATCAAAATTTTCAAATTCACTTGCTCTAATTCAACCGAATTTCTTAGGATCCCAAGCTAAAGTACCAACTCATTATGAAAAACACAGATCCACCAACACATGATTATGCAAAGAAAACAGTTAAATCAACTAACAAGTTGATCATATAGTGAAATCATGCAAAAGGGTAAGTCAAAATGTTAAAAAGGAGGAAACTTACTTCAATTAATCAAATCATTGAATCTGAAGTGAAAATCTAGTGTGTAGTTTTGAGCTCAAATCTGAGGATGAAGTGGTTCGGAGGTCCTCGAGTGAGGCTCAAAAGAGACACAGAAAACCGAAAATGTGAGAAATGGAGAAGGATTTTGTAGTGACAATATTCGCAATTGAGAGACAGTGAAAGAGATCGCGTAGAGAATGAGAGACTTGGAGAGAGAAAGAGTTGAAGAGAGAGAGAGAGAGAGTGAATAAGGGGTCTTTGTCTCAATGAGTGTTATTCTTGTTAATAACAAAAATAATAATTTAATTATTAAATAATTTGTAATTACCACTTGGAACCTTGTCAAATTATTGCAAGGGACCTTTCTTTTTATTATTTTAAACGGTTTTACTTGCTAAGTAAGTAAATATCTAAAAACATTTTTATCCTCTACTTTGCTTTCTTAGTCGAAATTTTACCAAAAAATATTGTAAGAAATATTGCTAAGATTGAATTTCTGAAAAACCAAGTAAAAACTACTAACATGTTGTTGGCTAATGTCAATCATGTTGGAAACTAAAAACTACTAACATGTTGTTGGCTAATGTCAATTAGATTGGAAAGGAAAAAATTGGGTAACTCTGAGCAACATATAGTGTATTGTTGAATATCACTGTTATTATTTGCCTTTAAATTTAGCAAGACATGCGAGTATTTATTAGTTTTATAAAATATATGTCTAATTTGGATTTCTCAACCACGATCAATTATATTTTTAATTGTTTGAACTAAACCCATGTCAGTTTTTATAGGTGTTGTTGTGGAGGTAAGTGTCTTGAACACATCCATACTATCAATGTGGAGCTCAATTTTTGAGAGCCCTTTTGTTGTACACATACTTCATCTTTTCATAAACTCCTTAAAGTTCTGCGACATCAACTTTATAAGTACTAACATGCTTCGTCTCTTCAAGCTCCATTATTGTCTCTAATAACTCCTCTACAACCTGATCAGCCTTGATTCTTGACTGCTCCATTTGTGTTCAGTCTTATCCAACCTTCTTCTGGCGGAGCCCATTTGATTTGTAGCAGATGACTTTGCCTCTTTATTGCTTTATCTTGTAGATATATACTCATGTAGTATATTATTAACTTTAACTTGATATTTTTCTTTGTTAGGAAGGCTAAAATTGCATTTCAGACGATATCGTTTTATTTTGATGTTATGTTTAAATGTGATTTGTATGTGTGTAATCTAATTTGTCGTGTCTTTGTAATTCATTTGTAATTTGTTTATAAGTTGATCATTTCATTTATTTGTTTATATGTGTATCTTGAGACACCCATACATTTAATCTATCGGATTTGGACTCATTATAATGTGTTTTTTAGCCTTTGCAATTTGATATAAGTCAAATATTAAGTGTAGCTTGAATCGGAAGTTAGAATACTTAAATCAAGATTTTTGTATACTTTAATTTGAATCAAGCATGTTATGATTCTAATCAAATTGTTACTTGGAAGTTCATAATTTAGCCTTGCTTCCTTTATTCGAATCAGGAACATGTGTGATTCGAATCATATCACTTCTTGACTCAAATCACTGGTTATTTGATTTGAATCATGAAAATCAAAATATTCTTAAATGGACTGTGATTTGAATCATACTTTACCTGACTCGAATCTTGAATACATGACATGATTCAAATAAAAAATAACAAATTATTTACTTTACTACCTTTGATTTAAATCACAACTTCGTGATTTGACTCGAATTATCTTGTGTTTCACCTTGTCTTTTTGTGCTTTATCTCTAGCACTTATTTAAACATTTTTCTTGTCTTTTAAAAAGATATGAATAATTATTAGAGAGAATTCTTTGACAATTTTGCGTGATAAGTTGTTTAAAACCCTATGATATTCATCGAGAATCAAAACTCTCTTTGTCAAGAATTTTGAGAGAAATCATGAAAGTTTCTTCATTCACAAACACACTATCTTTTTGATCAACCTTGTGAAAAACTTTCTAGAATTTGAGATTGTGAGAATTTATATTTGTGTAGAGTGGGATCCTTTAGATATCATTCATCATCTTCAACCTTATACAAATAACTCATTGCCATGATATTCAACTCTAAATATTGTGTGGGGGAGGTAGATTCAAGATACATTAAGGAATCTAATTTTTTGTGTGATGTTTTGTTGTGTGTATCAGGAGAAAGGATCGCTTATTGTTCAAAGTATTGATAGGTGTTTATCAAACAAGATAAGAGTTTCTCAAGACTCCATCAAAGACTTTGATAGATCCAAGTAAAGGTTGCCATGAAATAAAGTTGAGAGTTGTCCAATCATTGTTCGTTAGAATAATCGCTCAGACAAGCCTTCGTCATACCTGAGTAAAGGTTGCTGCAAAATTAAAGTTTGAAGCAGGATTATTGTGTCTAACAAGTTTATTGGATCAAGATCATTGAAGATATTAAGTATTAGTAGTTGATTAATCTAAATCAATAGAAGGGAATATCATTTTAGATATGTGTTGACTAAAGCATTAGGTTGTTAGTGTTCAGGTTGATGATAATTCATTGTACCAAAACACTTGTATCTTAAAGTCACGGTGAGAATTGAATATCAAGTTATTGATTAACTTGAATCGCAAATCATTATTCACCACCGATCTTTAATAGGCCCAAGGGAAGGAAAAAAATATCGAATAACCCATGAGTATGCAATGCAATGCAAAGCTAGAGAATCTAAGGTTCAGGGATTGGTTATACCTAGGGAATGTGCTAGCATCCTATGTATCTGTAGTACTCTATAGGAACCTCTTGTTTTATTGTGTTATTGTTGTTTTCTAAGGGTGAAATAAATAGGGGGTTTGTTTCTAAGTATGTTCGCCAAGAAATCACGTCTTGTGCCTACGTATCCTGACGGGAATGGAATCAGAGTATTCATAGTTCTCCTAAAGGGGTGAGGAATTCTTGACTGTGGCCAAGGTTCTAAGGAGAGAATGTTTGTTGATTGAATCTAGGAGAAGAAATAAGTCATCATCTTAGGGAGAATTCTCGACTTAAACCACCACAAGCATGTGGAGGAAGGTCTTTGCATCACATTGAGAGAAGGGCTCCAACTCGGATTTAATCGACGAGTATGTCACGGACCTCTCTCAAGCAGAAAAGATTCTACATCTTTCTCGATTATGTTATGGGATAGGAGAATTATATCTCGTCTACATAGGTGAATCATGTCTAATTATCTTGTGAGAGAAAAGGGGATTTAATTATAAGTTGTATAAGTTGAAAACTTGGGGGAATATGTCCTAAAGATAAGGGTGTATCAAGTTGATCGACCTGAAAGAAGTCAAGGATCGAACGAGGGGTAAATGATGCAAATGAATAAGATGCTCATGACTATGAAGTCGAGAACAAAATCTTTCTCATGGACTTGTAGCATGAGCAAGAATAAAGATTTAAGGACCATAAAATAATTATTAAATGAAAATAGGCAGACAAGATATGACATCGAGCAAAAGATCGATCATGAAGTCGAGGTTAAAAGGGGAATTTCTAGCATAATATTATCATGCAAACAAGTTCATCGTAATTTTTAATCTTAATTCAAATTAATTGAATATCAAATAGAATCAAGATATCCTAAGGGATCATGGCAAACAACCAATAACATCTAGGATCTAGGGTGATTATCACGCACATATACCAAAATTATGTGTAAATCAACAGCGAAAGCATATCACGCAACTTATAATAATCAGCTCGTATTTTCATGATTCTAACACAAGGACTTAATCACAAACTTAAACTATGAATTAG